CCCAGAAACGCTGAAGTGCACACCAGATCAAGGTATCTGCCTGATTAAGTGGTAAGCAACGGAAGTGACTTAAAGTCTTCATTGTTATTTCGATGTTTTCAAATTAATTTGTATTCCTGGATGCCGTTGTACAAAGCGATCTTAGCGTTAAGGTGATCGTAACTCCCATACCTTAACATAGACTTACGACAGTCGTAGCGCTAAGGTTGTTTTGTACAACGGCACCCTGGTGTGCAACCTTATCCTGCCGCACATTTCCCATTTTGCACAAGGCCCGTGATCAGGTAGGCTAACGGCAACAGCAATCGCTTGCAACGCCTTAGGACCGGGTTCGATTCCCAACATGATCAAAAAACCGATGCTTGAATACTGCTAAAAGTTTTCACTTACTCGCCAGGACAAATGCCAACTGATTGGTTTCACCAGGGCAACTGACAACTGATTGGTGTCACCAGGGCAACTGACAACTGATTGGTGTCACCAGGACAACTGACAACTGACTGGTGTCATCAGAGCAACTGACAACTGACTGGTGTCAACAGGACAACTGACAACTGATTGGTGTCACCAGTGCAATTGACAACTGATTGGTGTCACCAGGGCAACTGCCAACTGATTGGTGTCACCAGGACAACTGACAACTGATTAGTGTCACAAGGGCAACTGACAACTGATTGGTGTCACCAGGACAAATGCCAACTGATTGGTGTCACCAGGGCAACTGACAACTGGTTGGTGTCACCAGGGCAACTGACAACTGGTTGGTGTCACCAGGGCAACTGACAACTGATTGGTGTCACCAGGGCAACTGACAACTGATTGGTGTCACCAGGACAACTGACAACTGATTGGTGTCACCAGGACAACTGACAACTGATTGGTGTCACCAGAGCAACTGACAACTGACTGGTGTCAACAGGACAACTGACAACTGATTAGTGTCACCAGTGCAATTGACAACTGATTGGTGTCACAAGGGCAACTGACAACTGATTGGTGTCACCAGGACAAATGCCAACTGATTGGTGTCACCAGGGCAACTGACAACTGGTTGGTGTCACAAGGGCAACTGACAACTGAGTGGTGTCACCAGGACAAATGTCAACTGATTGGTGTCACCAGGGCAACTGACAACTGAGTGGTGTCACCAGGGCAACTGACAACTGATTGGTGTCACCAGGGTAACTACCAACTGATTGGTGTCACCAGGGCAACTGACAACTGATGGGTCTCACCAGGACAACTGACAACTGATTGGTGTCACCAGGACAAAGGCCAACTGATTGGTGTCACCAGGGCAACTGACTACTGGTTGGTGTCACCAGGGCAACTGACAACTGATTAGTGTCACAAGGACATCTGTCCCCTGGTTTTTATTACTCTGGACAATTGTCACCTGGGACAACGGCTACTTCACGATCATGCAAATGGCGTTTATTTCAACTACAATCAATCAGGTCTAATCATCCTATTTGGAGATTTTGACGGCACTGTTTTAGCTTTTCTATTTTCCAAACAACATGCTTTGGGCAACTAAAACCAAAACGTCCTCACACATTGATTTCTTGTGAATTAACACCTGGATCAATGCCAATTGAGCTGTACGACAGCCCATAGCACGATACGCATTTCCCGTGTGATTTCTGCGGGTGACAATTGGCTCGGTCTTTGTCCGGGTGATGACATCAGAAATATATTGACTTACACATATATTGACATATTGACTCGAACATATATGTTTGTAGAGCATTTTGTATTCATTCAGCCATTATAAATTATCAAAATATTTAATTTCTATTTTTCTGCACGTAATCCATTTAATTCAATTTTGGAATGATGCAAGTCCCAAGTGTGTCTTATTAATTTGCTTAAACGCGAAACATCAAACAGAGACTCAGTTGTTTTATTCATTTAAGCTGTTCAGTATACTCGGGGGAGTCATTTGGCGTTCATACGTTCGCTCGTATTTCAGAATTGAGGATGGGATGATGGTTTTCTCTAAAGTAAATAAGAACAGGACGAAATCAAAATATACCGTGAAAATATGACCTGGCATCTCTGTACACTTCAAAGATAGTTAAAAATAAAAGGAATATCAATGACATTATTCAAAGCTCTGCAGCAAATGTGGCTTGCAAAATAACAATTTATGTGTAATCTGCGTCTCCTCTCCCAGTGGGAACGATTATCGTGCATTTACAGCATATATTTAGAATAATTTTCTTAACTCAATCGAGCGGCTTCTAATACAGTAAACATACGTCTACCGATGACGGCCAAGGTTCTATTCAACTACTCCGTTGATGGGATTTATAATTTGTTCATTAGTGTGTGGTCGTATTACATTACGTGTGCCCTGTGGTTTAACAGTGACTCATATTATATAGCTTTCCATGTTAAATGAGAATAAGGATGAGAATAATACTCAAAGCAGCATGATTCTAAACGCTAACACTCTTTACCAAGACAAATCAAGATGACCTCGGTCAATTCATTTTTACCATTCCTACAAAACGCTGCTCCGAGTTTGACAATGATTTTTGATTATGTGTAATCATTCCATTACATCAAATACATCTAAAGCTCTTTCACTTGCGCCTTTCCAGGTTACCAATTGACTTGCCTTTGCATGTGTCTGTGACGGGTGCCACCGGTGGGGCAGGTTACGTTCACCTTTTTACGAACACCTGGTGTCATCACTATTCGTTATATAGTCGGAGCCGTACAATCGACTCTTTCTTTGGCAGAGATTTCTTATGAATATGGAAAGGGTTTTGTTGCTTTAATTGATATTACAAAACCTGCTTTGTGTGGATTTGTTTTAAACCGTTGCTGCGTTTTAGAAGGTTGGGTAATATTGACAATTGGAAGAGTTGAAAATTGAATCTTGACTCCTAATGCTGTTATTCAACAGCAGGAACATCAGTCATTTTAGAGTAGCAAATGTTTTCGAATGTCTTTGTTATGTATGATATGATATATATCCTCATCCCATTCACGAAGACACGAAAGTGCGTTTTATTAATATTAGATAAAGTTTGTTTAAGTTTAAGTTGGTTGGTTGGTTGGTTTGTTGTTTAACGCCGCACTCAGCATTATTCCAGCTATATGACGGCGGTCTGTAAATAATTGAGTCTGGACCAGACAATCCAGTGATCAATATCATGAGCATCGATCCACGCATTTGGGATCGATGGCATGCATCAACCAAGTCAGCGAGCCTGACCACCCGATCCCGTTAGTCGCCTTTTACGACAAGCATGGTCACCTTTTACGGCAAGCATGGGTTGCTGAAGACCTATTCTATCCCGGAATCTTCACGGGTCTTAAGTTTAAGTGCTATTTACAGTACATGTAATCTCTTTTTAAAGCATGAAGGCCAAATGTTACATTTTTGCCATTTTCAACTTCACAGTAACCGTCAGTATGAAATAACGTATATTGTTACCTCAATAATCTTTAGATGTCAGATTTGTCTTTTACACGTTTCATGAAACAAAAGTATTAAATAATAATTATGTAATTATTTTTGCCTAAGTCTTAGATACGTTAGAAGTTCGCTCATTATAACATGTCGAGTTCATAATTGTTTTCTGTTCAGATAACTTGAATTATCTTATCTCACATGACATCTACACTATACCCTATTAGGGGAGTATTGATGATGATTGTGATAGCGTCATCTTCCACAAACCTTTTATGCTAATCAATTAACTTCATGCACGAGTAAACAACACACATACACACATACATTAATGGCAGCTCTTAATTACGTAAGTGTACACACATCAGAGACCTCATAACGTTCATTGCCACTTGATTGCCTTATGTGAAGGAAACATAAAAAAACATCTTTTCTCCCAAAGGGATGCTTCTCGCAGTTGTGCTTTCACATGTGCTTTTGAGATGCTTTTTAAACAATCCATAACCTTCCTAAGTACTCCTAAAGGAACACTGAAGATGTGTGTGCATACATCTCGAGTATTGTTGCTTTGACAACGTTGGGAATACTGCTAAGTTTACTTTCAAAGAATACTTATAAATTCAATCCATATTTAGGAGTGCATTCTTACACACGCGCGGCATTGTGTGTGGCTACTTTGAATGTCTCCTTCAACTACACAGCCTAATTAAAAGGTTCTTATATTTGTCCGTTGTAAATAGTAGTCGTTAAACTTAAAGAAGAAAAGAAAATTCGCGTGTACTTCTTGCACACAATGGTAAATTCAAAGCTCCATCGCTAACTTGTTAAATATTTTCAGATGGTGTCGAATGTTCACGCCATATTTCAGTCGTACTGACAGGAACGCTAGAAATTGAAATATACTGTACCTTGTTATTTATGGCTTATGTTTTCCTTACAGCTGATCGACGAAAGAGGGGGCGGTCGGGTAGCCTACTGGTTAAAGCGTTCGCTCGTCACGCCGAAGACCCGGGTTCGATTCCCGACATGGGTACAATGTGTGAAGCCCATTTCTGGTGTCCCCCGCCGTGATATTGCTGGAATATTGCTAAAAGCGGCGTAAAACCATACTCACTCACTCACTCACTCGACGAAAGAGAAAAAGTGATCAAGTTTCTTACTGCCTCGTATTATGACAAACAACTTCTTTGTCGTTCGTAATGACGTTTGGGGCTACTTTTTGTCTCTTCTTTTATGGATATTTTTAATAGTCTTTGGCTACGTCTTGTCCCTTCTTTCGCCGATAAGTATTTCTTTACTTGAAACTGTTTCATGATTACGTCTTGTCCTTTCAGGTGAAGGGACAATAAATAGCCCCACACCGTCGCAACAAACACAAAAGTAGTTATCTATAGAAGTTTCATTTCTTCATGTTCTTCAAACTTCTAAAAGGCTATCAAAGACTTGAGATTCCATAGCATGCATTTCTGATAAAGTAGCCTGAAGCTGAAATCAAAGATCAGTACATATTACATACATGCAAACAAGAATGACATATAATCGATTCCTTGGGAAGTCAATACAGACAGAAAACAACTTTTGTTAATCATTTTATTTTCACTGGCAAGATTGTTCTTTCCACTACATTCCAGGTTATTGATTTTCTACATACAAAGCTACACATCTATTTTATGACATCTTTTAAATAGGTTTGTTACATACAAAAGAAGGCATCTGTCCTCTCTGTATTGTTATGCGTTTTCCTACCACTGTGGCGAGTTGAGCATTTGTTGAGTGCAGCTATTATGCACAAGGAGCGTTATCACTTAACGATATTACACAGTGGTATAAAACACAGATGTTCGTTCACCGTGGTTTGCATTTTTTTCTATTCTAACCTATTGATCGTATGAGCTATGAATATGTTCTGTCTTGGTTGGACTCGTACACGATAATAATACTACAATGTAATCTACTGATTGGATGAAGCATACAAAATATCAAAACTGTGCCTGGCATGTTCACGTTAGGCATATAAGAATAACTTTGCTCTTCGTACAGTTGCAATGAATGTAAGATCTTTAAATCTTGGTTAGTTCATAATACGTCCATGCCAGGTGACGCGCCAATGAGTAGGCTGACAGTACTCACGATTTAGAACATTACATTATCTCTTGAATCCGGAAAAGGATATTTTGTCATATCCCTCAACATATACCACAAACAGAGTCGTTCATAATTTTCCAAAGTTACACACAGTTAGACGTCACAATATCAAGCATCGGTTCCTTCTAAGAGCATCTTGAACCCTGGCTGCTGTAGGTTTATGACCGTAGTCTATATAATCCACAGCTTTCATGAGTTCTTTAAACATAAGAATAATATGCCAGTTAAATTTTGCGGAACACTCGACGTAGCCACACTTCCACTGTTTCTTAACGAGGTTCGCCACTTCTCTTCGTGGCATACCCCGTTCTTCCGCCAGGTCGTGCTTGTTCCCAACCACGAAGATAGGGACATCGTGCATGTCCCGACTCTCAAGGATCTGATCCCTGAGGGTCTTGATATACTGGAAGCTTTCTTCGGACGTGATGTCGTAGACAAGGATGTAGGCTGTGGCGTTTCGGAGGCCATACCCGCGGAAGTCTGTCCACTCGTACAAAGAATTGACTGGAAAGTAAGGAATGTATGGACAATCGATTATCTTCAGTTCATACAGGTGATCGTTGATGATTACAGATGGACAAAAGACTTCTTTCTGCTCAGTTGGGATGTAATCCTCGGCGAACTGGTTGCACACAAATTGTCGTATAATAGAACTCTTGCCAACTCCCGGCGCGCCAAGTACAGCAAGTTTGACACATTGAAAGTCAGAATCTATTGTCAGATGGCTCGTAGCCATGATGAAAGACTCTCTCGCCTGCCCGAATCGCCGACTGCATTCTTTCCGCGTGGCCCCCTTATGTCGCCTGTTTATCAGCCACGAGGGGGTTCCACCCCTGAGCAGACGATATGTAAAGGCTGGGCTTAATCCTGAGAACGCTTTGGCCTAATATAGCTAATCTGTGCCATCATATCTTGGTGTCAATGTAGATATCGATTGAAGGGAGAACGTCAGCACTGTTGCCCAGACTCAGAACGCTTTCCCGCCACCGTCATGATCGCCTGCTTCCTACTGGCTTCTCTCTACTCGTGTCGTCTGCTGCTAAGAAAATAAGAGAGTCAGTGAGCATGCGCAGTAAATGAGGCTTGAATTTAAAGAGATGCTATTGACAGCTAACCAAAGCTAGCCATTACAGACGAAATTTATCATTTCAATAACGTGCTTCATGACTTTTCCCGCAACTTGTTTCAGTACCAATAATTGATTTTCTGGGGCTATGAGTTCTCAGTACCGACACGGAACAAATAAACAAGATTTATTTTTCTTTAGCATCTTGATCCCGTGTCACTATACATACATGCGTCTTATCACCAGTTTATAGATTACAGATATTATCTATGAAGTGTTATCATATATCTCATAACAGCCTGGTGGTAATGACCTCGCTGTATACTAGCATCGTTTTGGCGAAACACGATACAAATTACTACTTTTACAGGCTATAGGTTTACTGTTAAATGATGTTTGTTCATATCGGTATTTATATTTTATCTTTATCAGGTATCGGGTGACTAAAGGCGGGTTCGATAAAACTTCGGGGTAACATATACACTGTACTTAGTGTGTGAGTGAGTTTGGTTTTACTCTCTTTTTAGCAAAATTCCAATGGGCTTCACACATTGTAACCATTTGCAGAATCGAACCCGGGCCTTATACGTGACGGGCGAAAGCTTCAACCAGTAGGTTGGGATCAACCAAGTCAGCAAGCCTGACCACGCCGTTATGCCCCTCTTACGACAAAAAAAAGGTTGCTGAAGACTAATTTTAACCCGGGGATAAAATATTTAGGAATCAGCTACAACTTTCTACGATACGCTGCACAGATGTCCCAAGTCTAACGCTATCTGAATTACGACCATGTGTGCATTTTATACTGATGGATGTATTCCTGACGGGCGTTTACATCTCGAATGATAAGCACATCCTAGCATGAAGTTGGAGCAAACATGTCAACGGTTGACATGATCGCGAACATATGATGAATGTCCAAATTGCATTTTCAATTAAAACCCAAACGCGGATGCTGTCAAAACTAGCAAAAACCTTGTAGAAACAATGCCCCAGTCTGTCTCAAAATAATATTGTTTGCGGATGGGATCTGTATTTACTTAACCTACTGCAGCTGAAGACACGCACATATACCCTAACAGTCACAAATCAACACATATTGAATCAGCGACGATTCTGATTAATCTCCCTGTCATTAATACCGTTTATACCTCGAGTGTAAATATTGATACTATGTAACATTAGGCCCCCATTCGTTACTTGTCGGGACGAATTTCTTGTCAGATGCTCAATAACTCCCTGCACACATCTCCAATTCGGAAGCTATTCACGAAATCTCAGTATTAATCACCGCTCTTGTTCGGGAAGGAAACACTCAGCCACATCCAGTGTAGCCTACTGTAACAACCCTTTGAGGAATCGTCAACTTTGGCCTGTTGTCGTGACTGCTTTCGATAAGATGGCGTGATATAGTTCAATACAGCCAGCATCTCAAATGGAATGAAATTTATTTTTCGATAATGCAGGCGGTAGGAGATACGGATACGTCCGTGCTATCGACTAAAATCATATTAATGCAGCAGATCAAGAGGCATGAATAATGATGCATTGAAACTGAAAAAAAATAATTCCATATTACATTATAATATTGCTCTCTGAAAGGAAGGATCTATATATAACAAAACCTGGTTGCAGAATACAAGGCGGTTTTTTGATGAATGAAATATTTTTTTAAAAAGGCATGGTTGGTATATTGGTAGATACCTTAGCTAAGATTAAAAAGAAGGGATATAGGTTAGAAGGTATTCTTGTGCAGCACGTACATGTACATACTGATATAAACGCATGTGTATCGATTTGGAGACAGATCATGTGTCAGTTTATTCAGGAGAAGGATGGCATTTGTGACAGAGACATAATATGTATCTAGTCACAACCTCAAGACATACATTATTCATGTTTCTGAACGAAGCGGAGTGATAGTTTTTCTTTGTGTATTCGGAGGCAAAATCATTATTATTTTTCAGAATCTTCTGGAACAATTTAGTTCTTTAAAATGTCCTAGCTCCCCATAAACCCCTCACACACACACGCACACACACACTCACACACAAATACACTCACACACACATACACAGACAGAGGCACATTTACGCACGCACACACACACGAACGCACAATAACACAAACACATCAACTGACACACTCGCACGCCCGCACTCACTCACTCACATACACACACACATACACATCAACGCACACGCACGCACGCACGCACGCACGCACGCACGCACTCACACACTCACAGCACACATACTCACCCCACCTCTGAATATCAAAATCGGTTCCGAAAGGAGATATACGTGTTCATATGTCGTATAATTTACATCAGATTAATGCATATTTGCAATACTGATTGAAGCAAAGAGCAAATGGCATATGGGTAAACAGGAGTTAATGATAACGTATCAAACTTGAGACTACAGCCTCAATACATTTCCATAAGGTCCTACTCACACGCATTTTGCTGAATCGAAAAACCTCTAACACATGACGTTGTACAAATAATTCACGATGGGAAACGTATATGAAATTTGATATTAATGCAGTCCTCTGATATTGCAGTGAGCGATTGGATGGCCCCCAGCAACGTTTGTTTTGTTATCGAGAAAAATGTCATGTTCTCTCTTTTCATTCAGTCAGATTGCTTAGCTTGGGAAATATGCAGGTTTCTAGCCTAACAATGAACCTGTTGGGCTATTGCGGTGCGATTCTTGGAGAGTCCTGATAGAAGAGAACCAAGATATCGATCCAGCATTGATATTTCCTTCTTTCCAACAATTAGAGAAATCAATGGCAGAAGTAGAATTTAAAGAAAATGTCTGACTTGTGCTTCTGTTCAATCGCACATAGTAATTGATTAGATGTAGCGTTTACCGTTTACCACGGAGGCCTTCGACAACGCTACAGTAATACCAGAGCGAGGAATCTATATGATGACTATCGATATACATAACGGATCGGAAGAAATTAGGTTAGTGAATAATATGAACCCGGTTTGTTGACTATCTGTATGTAAATGAAACGTAATGTGTGTGTGTGTGTGTGTGTGTGTGTGTGTGTGTGTGTGTGTGTGTGTGTGGCTGCTTGTACTTGTCCGAGCTGATGCCTATTTGTAGTGCTAGCTCACTGAGATACCATGCCACAGTTGAGCATGAATACCACACTCAGACACAGTTTACTGACTCCGAGCCGACCAGTCCTTGTTTAAGCCCCTTAATGTCGAGCACAAGGCAGGGTAACAACAAGTACCATCTTTTAACGTCGTGTAGTATGACGCGGCCGGGAATCGAACTCCGGACTTTCCCCTCTCCGCGCGAACGCTCTACCACTGGAATTCTAATTAGATTCTAATTGTGTTTCCA